AAGAGACTGTCTTTTCCCCATTGTATATTCTTGTCTGCTTTGTTGAAGATTAATTGACCATATAAGTGTGGGCTTAGGGCTTTCTATGCTGTTCCATTGCTCTGTGTGACTACTTCTATGACAATACCATACTGTTTTGATCACTACAGCTTTGTAGTGTATCTTGAGATCTAAGATTATGATACCCACAGCTTTGTTTCTCTTTCTCAAGGTTGTTTTGGCTATTCAGCGTCTTTTGTGGTTCCATACAAATTTTAGTATTATTTGTTCTTGTTTTGTGAAAAATGCTGTTGGTGTTTGGATAAGGATTGCATTGAATCTGTAGACTGCTTTGGGTAGTAGAGACGTTTTAACAATATTAATTCCTCTAATCCATGAACTTGGGCTATCTTTCCATTTCTTTGTGTTGCCTTCAACTTCTTTCATCGGTGTTTTGTAGTTTTCAGACTGCAAGTCCTTCACTTCTGTGCTTAAGTTTATTCCTAGGTATTTTATTCCTTTTGGTGCAATTGTAAATATTTTCCTCTTAGTTTTTGCATTCAGTTTAGGGAATCCATCAACCTGCCTCCCACCTCCACATTTCCAGGGACAGGAGCAAAGACCTCCTCCTGGTTTTCAATCTGACTTGAAGTTAGCCTCATTTGGAATCCTGGCTTTGCTATTGCTGAAGATGAACTTAAATCCCCAAGTGTCCATTTTTTTTTTCTTCTACATGATGAGAAGTTTGGAATAGATGAGCTCAAATGAATCTGGCTCTAAAATTCTGTGACTCTGCACAGTAAATGAAGAGGTGGCAGGTAAGAGACATTGATGTTTTAAGACTCCACAGTTTCCAAGGAGATAAAGAGGCATAATTGGGACCACCCAGTGAGAGCATTATTAGCAAGAACAGATGTCAAGTTTGGAGAAGGGATGACAATCGAGATTCAAGGAAAAAGGGGAAGAGAGAGGATGCTGGCAGAGGTTCACAAGAAAAATGAAAACCAGTGATTGAATAGAGGTTAAGAGAGAGACAGCAGGTGTTGGGAATAACAAACATGTTTAACCACCGTGGGAACAGATACAAAAGTCTTTCCCTTTAAATCTATTATTAAATATTTCTGCAATAATAAAAGTATGCAGAATAATATAATGAACACTTGTGCCCCTTCTAAGATATTATTCATTACCAATTTATAGTAGCTCTCCCCCCATCAGCACCAAGTGGTAGTAACTATTTTCCTAAATTTGTCGACTATCATTCCCCATAGCCCTTTACATTTTTATTACATATGTGTGTATTCAAAGGCAACGTTTTATCTTTTAAAAATCAGGTTTGATGTCCGAAGATGGAGAACTACGACTGTGGAAATACTTGTTTGAGATAAAGCAAAGTGTCCTTGCTAAAGGCAAGGAGAATCATAAAATAGATGGAAAAACTTGGATCAGAGAATAAGAAGCTAATTGCTATTGACGTAGTTCTCTCCTAGGTCACGAGGTCGCTGGTGAAGCTCCCGTAGTAGGACCAAGAGCATCGGCCAGCTTCCTGATGCGGGGAGAGGGCCACACTCCTAGAACATCAAGGTCAGAAGGAAAGGGATGATTTCAGCCACTGTTCAGCAGAGGTCTTTTAGTTGGGGCCAGTGGGGATTCTGTTCTCAGAAACATAAGCGGTGGGAAAGCGGGCATCAGAACACAGCAAGGAGTCATTTACTATTTCAAGGACAAACCACAGAGTAGGCTGAGGTTTGGGGCCAGACTCCAAGTTCAGAGTTGGCTCATGGCTAGCCAGCGAGAGGCAGAACCTCTCCCTTGTGCCGCAAGACGCCCTTGAAACCGCCTCCACTGGGGCCTGTCATCCTTGGGCTCAGCAAGCTGCCAAAGAGAGTAACAGATAGTTTTCTGGGTTCAGTGAGACTGCTGTCTTGCACAATTCTGTTAGTGAAAACCCACATGGGCCATCTTAGAAACCCAACCTTGCAAGGAACTTAACGAAGACCTAACCTCCACCATAGCAAGCAAATTAAAATTCACTCCCATCAACACTAAACACGATTTGGATTGGGTGGGGGAAGTGAGAGGATTTTCACAACCTCAGTTTTGAAATTGTCAGTGAGTAACTCATTTAGTTCTCAATTTGTTTTGATTTTTTTCCAAAAATCTGTGCAGAAGTGGAAATTCTTGAGAAGTGAGAAAATCGGATCTCCAGATTCCTTTTGAATGTGTGAAATGCTAAAGTTGAAAACTCAGAAAGTTGGGATATTACGTTTGTATGCTTTTAATTAAACATTTATCCTTTATTTCATGGCTTCCTTTTTGTATCCGAGAGCCAATAATCATTTCCAGGCTTCAAACGTTGTTTAGGCTCTTAGAAAGCTCACAGACCCTGAGCTTTGTATCTGTAGGACCTAGAGGAGAGACATCCCATGGAAGAGATTTTATTTTTTTTATTTTTTTTAAGATTTTATTTATTTATTTGATAGAGAGATCACAAGTAGGCAGAGAGGCGGGCGGGGGGGGGGAAGAAAGCAGGCTCCCCATGGAGCAGAGAGCCCGATGTGGGGCTCGATCCCAGGACCCTGAGATCATGACCTGAGCTGAAGGCAGAGGGTTTAACTCACTGAGCCACCCAGGCGCCCTGCATGGAAGAGTTTTTAATGGGAGGTGCCTGGGTCGGTGGGTCCTGACTGGTTCCTTTGTCCCACCTCCTCCGCCCTCTCCTCCCGTGGTCCCTTGTGGTGGTAGTGAGGGGACCGCCCTGAAGACAGCATCAGCATCCCCAGACCTAGTCACCAGAGTCTTTACTTCCTGCTTCCTCCCTCAAACACAGTAACAGTGGGGACTTCGCTTTGTTCTCTGCTCTATCCCCCAGCCCCCCTCCGCCACCTAGTAGAGGTTCAGTACATCACAGGCACTCAGCACCAGTCTTTTTTTTTTTAAGATCTTATTTATTTATTTGACAGAGAGAGAGAGATGGCAAGTAAGCAGAGATGCAGGCAGAGAGAGAGGGGGAAGCAGGCTCCCCGCTGAGCAGAGAGCCCAATGGGGGACTCGATCCCAGGACCCTGGGATCATGACCTGAGCCAAAGGCAGAGGCTTAACAACTGAGCCACCCAGGCGCCCCTGGGCACGAGTATTTTTGGAGCTCATGTGAACATGGGCTCTGGGACGCAGCGTCCGATGGTGGACCAACTGGGCTCCAGCTAGACTGGTATCACTTGAATGTTATAGAATGAGAATGTCATCCCTTATTACTCTCGTAATTAAAGGTAATATAATTTTAGGTGAGCTATCACCTCCCACCCAATCGGGATGGCTGCTACTGATAAAACAGAGATGCGCAGTGTTGGTGGAGGTGTAGGGAGATTGGAACCATCAGGCCCCGCCGGCGGTAATGTGAAAAGCGCAGTCACCCTGGAGGGCCGCACAGTGGTTCTTCACAATACTGGACGCAGAGCTACCGTGTGACCCGGCGATCCCACATCTGGATGTACACCCAGAAAGAACCGAAAGCCTGGGACTCCCAGATAGCCCTGCGTCTTCCCTAAGGCCCCTTGAGGCGGGGTAGTGAGACTCCAGAGAGGGCTGGTGGTGAGCAGTGCTGAAGAAGGTTCTCGTGCGAGGTGTGGAGGAAGCCCCAGAAGGAGCTTGGCCTTCGGCCCCCTGACGCCACAGATGCACCCCAGGATTCGTGCATATACTCGGGCAAACAGGTGACCCGAGAGGCAGACAGCCCCCTCCTCACGGGGAAAAAGAAGGTAAAGCCCGGCTGGCCTGCGCCAGCCCTAGGAGCGCACAAGGAGAGAAACGTCCCCTTTTGCGGACCCCGTTTCTTGGGGCGCTCCCGATGAGAACCACTGCGGGCTGGGGGCCTGAGGGCGGGGTGGGGGATGTCCTGCTTCCCCCACCCCTGTCCCCGCGGGCGGTGGCCGGCTCCGGAGGGTACTGGGGAGAAGGGACTGGGGAGGGGGCTGGGCAGCCCCCACCGCGCCTCCCCCTCGGGGCCCGCGTCGGACGGCCAGCAGGGGGCGCCAGAGGACCGGCGATGCCGCGGGGTGGGCCGGCACGCTCGGGGCGCCGCCCTGCCCGGGAGGGACCCCCGCCCCAGACCCGGAGGGGCCGAACTCCGCGGCCGGCGCGGGCGGGGGACCTAGGGGACGGCGCGCGGCCGGAAACCTGTGCCCGGAGCAGGGACTCGAGGTCGCGGCCGGCACCTCCCCGCTCCCCAACCCGGGACCCGTAGGCCCCCGCCTCCCACGGGGTCTCCAGTCTGGAGCGCTCACGGGATGAAGGAAGGCAGCCCTCATCTGGGATACGTGGGAAATCTGTGCCGGTCACGGTGCCAGGGGGCGGCTTTTCTTCATATTCTGATGGCCCTGGCCCTGAGCCGGCTACACCTCCGGGGCGGAGGACCCCTCCACCTCCCCGCCGCGGCCTCTTTGGTCCCCAGGCTCCCCGCCTACCGGGCCCACCGCTTGGTCCTCAAGCTCGCCCCCCCCCCTCGCGGGCCCCCACCCCCGCCTCCTTTTCTTCTGGGCGGACTGTCCCAGCCCCAGCCGCCCTCTCACCCTCTCACACACCTGAGTCCCCAAGGACTCCCCTCCACCGAAACCCCCTGTTGGGCCGTGGACCCCCGACCCTGCCTCCCAGGCCTGGACACCAGACCCTGATCAGGCTTAACCTCCCAGAGCTCCCGGGGAGGGGGCGGGGAGGTTAAATAAAGGCGGGGTTCCTGCGGGACTGGGGTCCACGCGGGGACAAGGGTCAGAGGGCAGAGCCTGGGTTCCGCAGGCGGCCCACAGAACCAGGAGGCCTGTTGCCAGGTAACCCGATCTCCCGTCACTTGCCCACACCCCACCCTGAGCTGCCCACCCGCCAGCCTCCTGCCGTCTTTCCCTCTGTGGGTCCCTGAGAAGCAGCAGGAAGGGAGAAGCAAGAACCCAGCCAGCAAACACCCCCCGCCCCCAGCCTCAGTTTCACCGCGAGGACTGGGCCGCTGGGCCCCCTAGGGCAGCATCAGGATGAGTCTGGGCATCATGGAGGAGGAAGACCTGGCCGAGTACTTTCGGCTACAGTATGGGGAGCGGCTGCTACAACTGTTGCAGTGAGTGTCTCCGGGTCTGGGGGCGCCCACAGTCCCTGTGCCCCCCCCTTCCAGTCTCTCCTACCCCTGTAACCCTGAGCCCCAAGTCACCTGCCCTCAACCCTGGCACCAACCCAGGGTCCCAATCAGACCCCCAGCCCTTGTCACCCTGCCCCACCATTCCCAGATGCCGATGCAGCCCTCCCTCCCCACATGCCACTCCCTTCCCTCCGGCGGGGGACAGGACCACCCCTTCCCCCCGCCTCCTCTGGTGTTGGCCCAGCCCCAGCCTGTCCCAAGAGCTCAGAACCCACAGGCCTCTCTCACCTGTGTCTTGGGCAGGAAGTTCCCGAACATTGAGAACCAGTCGGAGTCTCCATCCATCCGGCTCCTGGAGAAGAAGAAGGAAGCCAAGATCATGCACCGGGCTATGGAGCAGAAGAAGGAGGTGGGGGCCTGGCCCTGGGGTGCGGGAAGGGCCACGGGGTTCAGAACCTGAGGACGCCCCCCCGCCACCCATCCTGCGGGTGGCAGTGGCTGGAGCCAGGAGTCCTGCGCCGAGGTTCTGTGTTCCCTCCCAGGAGAGAGAAGGGATCTTCATCTTGGGGGTAGCAGGGGCTTGGGATGCCCTCTTCTGAACCCGGTGTGGGGCGGAAGGCGGGAGGCCTGGGGGCAGAAGACAGAAGGCCTGGGGGCAGAGGCCCCGGGGGCAGGAGGCGCAGGGGCGCTCCTGACCCCTGTGCTGCCCCCACCCCAAGATATTTCAGCGCCGTATGGAAACCCTGAACCTGCGCTGGGAGGAACTGGGTGTCAAGGAGGCCCAGCTGAAGGCCCACATCCAGAAGTTCGAGCAGTTCATCCAGGTGCGAGGGCCTGCGGGTTCCCAACTGCCCTCTTAGTCCTCCTCTCCCTCCTCCTCTTTCCTTCTCCTTCCCCCTCCTCCTCCCTCCTCCTCCCACTCCCCCTCTTCTCCCTTTACCCCCTTCCTCCTTCTCCTCCTCATCTTCCCCATTCCTCCTCCCTCCTCCCTTCCTCCTCCCCCTCCTTCCCTCCTCCTCCTCCCTCCTCCCTTCCTCCTCCCCCTCCTCCTTGCTCCTGCTGACTCCTCACCCTAGGTTAGCGCCTCTTCACTGCTCAGCAAGGCCTGGGGCTTCTCCCTCTATGTCCTCGCTCATTACCATTTGTCATTTCCTGTTTCCCTGTCAGTCTGGGCCCTTCTGGACTGCAGGTCACCATTTCCTCGAGTGCCCCGGGTACATGCAGTGTCTCAGGGACTGGATGGGTGGGAGATGACAGGCGGGGTTGGGCATGGGGAGTACACAGATGAATGGGACAGGGCTTCAGCCCCAGCCGCCCACCCAGCCCCCAGCCACTCTGTGCTTTCAGTGGACCTGAGGGGCAGGCTAGCAGCTGCATTTGTAAAAAGCTCCCCAGGGGATCATGATGCAGCGTTTAGGGGTTTAGGGGACCTTGGGTCCTCTGCCAGGCTCATGGGGCGGAGTGTAAACCCTCCCTGTGCCTTCTCCACCTGCCTCCCAATGTCCTCCACCCATGGAGCCCCCCCGGGAGCCCCTGAAGAGGGACAGTAGCGAGGGGTGCGTGTGTCCCTGATCTTGCCGTGAGGGCTCGGCAGAATGAAGAAGGGGATGTCGGCCCGACTGCCCCTTCTTTGAGGACATCAGTCTGCACCAGCGGCTCTGGCCTCAGCCTGATTCCTCCCCAAGCTGGAGCACATCCCCTGGGGCCTCTGGTTCCTACAGAAATGAGAAACTGAGTCACGGAGTACCAAGCACCAAACGGGGAGAAAATCCGGGCCTCCTGGCCCACAGGGGCGGCCCAGCGATCCCTGCCCATCCCCGGCACACAGAGGGAGGACAGGCCCAGTGTCCCACTGGTGCCACCTCCCCCACCCCCACCCCCGCCCCAGGAGAACGACCAGAAACGGATCCGGGCCCTGAAGAAGGCCAACAAGGAGCGGGAACTGAAGAGGCAGCGCCTGCGAGAGCTGGCCACGGCCAAGCAGGAGATGGCGGCCTTGCGGCTGGAGCACCAGAGGCTGAGCGGGAGGCTCCAGGACTACTCCGTCTTCAACAAGTACCTGGAGAAGGTGGTGGAGAGCTCGGAGGTGAGCGGGTGGGCGGGGGTGGGACTGCCCCAGGGCCTGGGGCCAGCAGGGGCGGGTGGGGGGTGGGGGGGAGCAGGACAGTCACCCTGCTCTGAGCAGACAGCTGGGAAGGGGTCCTGCGGGGTGGGGGCTGGGCTTGTTTCTCAGGGCTCTGGGGTCCGCAGGTGCATCCAGGTGACATGTGTATGTCTCTGCGTGTGTGTGTTGGGGGAGCAAGGTTTCGCTTGGGACCCCCAGGGACCAGCTTTGCCGGCAGCGGGATCGGGCCACACCGTCCCCTGCTCCCCATCATTTCAGGTGTGACAAGAAAAGAGAGAAACCCAACCCAGTGTAGAGTTAGCGCAGTGCACAGGCCGGGGTCCTCCTTGAAACAGAGCTTTGCCCTTTCTTCGAGGCTCCTCCCCCGTCTCCTACCCTCTTCCCTTCCTCCTTAGCCTCCTGGAGGACGCCGGGGTGGGGCTCATCTTCCTAGCTCCTTCCTTCAGTGGCCCTCGGGTCTTTGTCCCTGACCATTCACTTTTCTCTTTGATCAACTTGAGGGGCCTCCCACGCTCCCATGTGACAGCAGCAGGCAGGGCCTCTCACGGGAAGGGGGGGGTGGGGGGTGAGAGCCAGGTATGGGTACAGGGTATGCCCTCCAGGGTGTGTCCTGAGCGCAGTGCCGGCGGGGGGGGGGGGGGGCGGGGGGGGCCGCGGGCGGGGGGGGGGGGGGGGGGAGAGGGCAAAAGATGGATAGCTTTCTGAAGTCCCAGAGCTAATCTCTTAAAATCCCATACTAGAACTAGAATTACGCATGTGTGAAGCCCAAATCCGTGTTATGTGCGCCATGCCAAGGTACCTATTGTACAATAAAAGTTTCATTCGTCTTGGGGCACAGGGAGGGGAGTGAGCAGACAACGTCTCAAAGCAGCAGGTACATTATAAGAGAGGACTCCAATCAGACCTAGGGAAATGTGTGTCTTACAACCAAGGAGCCTGGTCTGTGTCTGGCTCTGAGATTACTGCCCCAATGCCCATGGTCTGGACTCTCAGCCCATCAGCTCTCCGCCCCCCCCTGCCCCCACTGCAGCCAGTCCTCCCACGGTGTGTGTCCCCCGCTGTGAATGCTAGAACTGGGGCCTCATCCTCACCTCCTCCCCCTCCTTCCTCTCCGCAGCCCATCAATCAGCAGATCTAGTCTATTCTGCCTCCTAAGTATTTCTGGAATCCGGCCCCTGCCCGTTCCTCATCCAGACCCCCAGTGCCCTCATCCGGAGTTCAACGCTGCCTTTATTTCTGGCCACCAGCCTGTCCCACGCTCTCCCACCGTGATCTCCCGCCCCTCTTTCTTCCTCTCTCTTTCCGTCTTCCCCTAAGTCTTTTAGAATATTTCGAGTACACGGAAAGGTATAGAAAAATACGTAATTGCACCCAGGTATCCACTGCACCTTGCCAACTCTTAATATTTCCCCCTATTGTCTTCCAGTTCTTTTTTCTTAAAGAAGGCACTACCGCTAACTGCAGCCCCTCATGGGCACCCCCCTTTCAAGCCCCCTTCTTCCCCTCTCCGAGGAGCTGGCCGCCATCCGCACTTTTTTTTTTTAAAGATTTTATTTATTTATTTGACAGAGAGAGATCACAAGTAGACAGAGAGGCAGGCAGAGAGAGAGAGAGAGAGAGAGAGAGGGAGAGGAGGAAGCAGGCTCCCTGCTGAGCAGAGAGCCCGATTCAGGACTCGATCCCAGGACCCTGAGATCATGACCTGAGCCGAAGGCAGCGGCTTAACCCACTGAGCCACCCAGGCGCCCCGTCCGCACTTTTTAACCGCTCATTCTCATGCGTGTGGGTATTATTTTGGTCCCATAGCACATCTCCATAAACTATGAAGAGTGTTGCCCGTGCCCCTTCGTAACTTGCTTTTTCTGATCAAGGATACTTTTTCTTTAAAAACAAAACAAAACAAAAAAACCTGTTCATTATGGGAAATTTCAAACATATACAGAAATAGAATCATCTATTGAATGCCCATTACTCATTGCCTAATTCCAACAATTATCAACTCATTAAATCAACCCCCAGACCTTCCCACCTCTGCCACTTGGAAGCAAATGATTTTTTTTTCATCCATATTTCAGTATGTGACTCTCAAAGATGAGGCCAATACCATTGTCACACCCAGTAAAAATGTGATCGTAATTCCTTAACATCAAGTCGTCAGTGTTCAAACTTCCCTCATCTGTTACATACCTGCTTTGCATACAATTGTTTTGTTCCAATCAGGGTCCGCAAGGTCCCCACGCGGCATTCGGTTGATAGGTTTGTGCCTCGAGTATTACAGACGTTCTGATTCTGATCCAAAGAAGCTAGACAGACAAGAGGACATACGTGCGATCCCCCTGATAGATCTGAAAACGGGTCAAGGTGGATCTTTGGTGATAGAAGCCACAGTTCTGGTTTCTTTAGCAGTGGGGACAGACGCTGAGCTGAAAGGGGTTGGTGGACCGTTCTAGGGTGCTGGGAATGTTTTGTTGTCTCTTCTTCACCTGTTAGCTAGGAAACTAAGGCCAAGAAAGCCTTCCTCAAGAGAATCTTCCCTTCACCAGCTGTTTGATTACTTTGTGAGTCTTAAAGGAAAAACTTGTTAAGCACTTGATTCATTAGTATGAATTCCTGGATGGTTGGTATATCTGGTATGTGCGTTCGTTTGCACTTTTTCTCTCTGACATGCAAAGTGTCCCATCTTTAAACAGTGGGAGCCTCTTCTGGTTGGTGCCTGTGTCCTTTGGACGAGCATCAAGTCCTTGATAGGTGCTCCTGGTAGCTCCTCTCGTTTTAACTGTCGCGTGCTGTTGCATGGTGCGTGTACTCGATGACCTTTCGAAATGCAGACATCAAGTAATCTCTCTGCTTCCTTCAATGAAGGAAGTCCACATTCTCCTCGGGGGCTCCTGGGCACTATCGTTACTTCCTCTGGATGGATCTTTCCCTCCCCATCTTGATTACAATTTATTCATACTAATCTCCCTTGAGCATCTTAAATATGCCACACGTCCCCGAGGTCTGCAGACAGCAGCTCCCTCTTCCTGTCCTCACCTTCCCCCACCTGCCCGTGGCTGGTCAGCTTCTGTTCATACCTCTGGTCTGAGCGCAGCATCCTTTCCCCCCAGAAACCTTGCCTGGCTGTTCCCACCTCCTCTGATGCTGAGTTGGGTGGCCCTTCCCCACAGAGGCATTATGGATGGAGAGGACAGCACTCACACCACCTTCTACAGAGGACAGCTGGCCTGCAAGGTCAGGTCAGAGTGTCCTGGCCCGGCACCAGGCTGGAGCAGGCAGCTGCACCTGGCAGGCCCCATGCCCCACTGGTGGCATCTGTTCCCACTGGAAGGGGACCTCAGCAAATGTGAGCAAATTCCAGAAAGCCTTCTGCTGAAGATACTGCCACACGTCTTCGACCAGACCCCTCTCCCCAGTCATCGATAGGGCTTATCACTCCATGTTGTAATGCTTTCCTTGTCTGTCTGTCCTCCCTCCACACCATCCCAAGTCATAGGCTTCATAAGAGCAGGGTCTGGCTTTCTTATCTCCTGCTCTGTCCCTCGCACTTAGCCTACTGCCTGCCTTACAAGTGGTTCACCATTTGTTCTTGTTGGACAGGATCATTATTGCCTTGGGAGACATCTCAAAATGCACCCTTCCAACCCCCGAGCCCCAGCCAGCAACCTTCTAGAATAACCCGGGGGCCCTTTTTGCAAAATTCAGGTGCCAGGGACCACCTCGAACCTGTTGATTAAAATGAATGTCTTGGGGCGCCTGGGTGGCTTGGTTGGTTAAGCGTCTGCCTTGGGTTCAGGTCCTGATCCTGGGGTCCTGGGATCCGGCCTGTGTCAGACTCCCTGCTCAGCAAGGAGCCTACTTCTCCCTCTCCCTCTCCCTCTCCTGCTTGTGCTCTCTCACTCGCTCTCTCTCAAATAAAAATATATATATATATATGACACGAAACTCTTGGGGGCGGAGCCAGACAGGTGTCCTTTTCAGAGCTCCCAGGCGATGCCAACAGGCAGACCGAGGACCCCAGCTCCAGTGGCACCTGCCCCCAACAGAAGGTCCCAGTGGCCCTTAGCAACCCAAAAGGGCCAGCAGGTGGACTCCAAAGTCCTCGCGGCCTCTGCCCTTTGGCCTTGGCCCAGGGTCTCCCGGCTAGGAGGAGACCCCTAGACAGAGGTTTGGCAGGCAGGGAACCCTGCCATCTGGCCCCGGGGGTGGGGGGAGGCAGTGCACTGATGGAGCCCCCGTCGCAGTTCGAAGAGATCCACGAGGTGATTTCGCGCTACAAGACGCTGGTGAGCATGCACCAGGACCTGATGCAGTCGGCGCAGGAGGGCCAGGAGAAGATCGAACGCGCCAAGGCGCGGCTGGCGCGCTACATGGAGGAGAAGGACGACGAGATCCTGCAGCACAACAACGAGCTGGCACGACTGCAGATGCGCTTTGACCGAGCCCGCAGCGATGTCATCATCTGGGTGAGCGCGGGGTGGGGGTGGGCGGGGCGGGGCGTCGCTGGGGGCGTGGCTGGGAGCACCCACCCACGCCTGTGCGCCCACACCTGCTCACCTCCTGACCTCACCCCAACCCAGGAATCTCGCTGGGCTCACATCCAGAACACCGCCGCCAAGAAGACCCTCTTGCTTGGCACCATTAAGATGGCGACGCTGAATCTCTTCCAGATCGTGAGCAAGCAGCTGAAGGAGACCACCACCGTGTCCCTGGAGGACACGCACAAACAGCTGGACATGGTAAGAGGGGGCACAAGTGCCCTGGCCAGCTGGGTCTACTCAGCGGAGACGACCGTCCATTGGTCCAAGGCGAGAATGAACCCCCTGGGGCTGTGGTTCTCAAATTCAGCAGGATCCGAGTCCCCTGCGGGCTGGGGGCTGTGGCTGGGCCCCAGCTCCGAAGTGTCTGACTCAGTAGGTCTGAGATGAGAACCCATGAATCTCCAGTTTTCAGCACGTCCCCAGGTGATGGTGCTGGCCTGGGTTCCGCGCTTTGAGAACCCCCGCATTAGCGCTAAGACCCTGTTGGCCATAGTGAACGCGGGGAAGGGCGGGGACCCCTGTAGAATCCGGTACTTGTGCACACCAGTCCTACTGAATTCTAGAGAGAGGCTGAAGGCTCGCGCCGACGGCCCATTCTTGGAAAAAGAGAATTTTGGGAGTTGAGGGGGTAGGAGGAGGAATCCGCAAGTTTAAGGAAGTGTTAGGGTCTTACTAGTACCAATCTGACGTTTTCTCTTTGAAGTAACTGAAAGGAGGAGCAAGGGGGGGTGCTGGCGCTCAGGGGGTTAAGCATCTGCCTTCAGCTCAGGTCATGATCCCGGGTCCTGCTCAGTGGGCGTCTGCTGCTCCCTCTCCCTCTGCCTCTTCCCCTGCTTGTGTGTGTGCTCGCTTTCTCTCAAATAAATAAATAAATAATTTTAAAAAGTAACTGTAAGGAAATTGGGAAGGAAATAGGTGTCTCACTGTATGACTCTAAGTTGTTCAATGCCATGTGCATCGAACATTACCACGTGTATCCAGCATTACCCCAAAGTCATCTCACTCCCGACCGCACGTGCACAGATGGGGGAACTCCGCGCAGGCAGAGGCACTACCCATGCTTCTCATGACACGCAGAGAACCGTGACTAAGTCTTTACTCCTTGGGCAAAAGCCTCAGGCTTTGCCGTGAAGTAATAGAATACGAGGATTTGTACTTGTCTTGTTCCTAACTGTATCTTGGTATCTAGAACAGTGCCTGGCACACAGTAGGTGCTCAATAAGTGTTTGGTGAATGAATATGAAACACAAGCCAATAAAAGCCATGGACTGGAAGCTTCTTGCCCTATTTAACAAAAACAAAAAAAGGAAAACTTGGGGCACCTGGTGGCTCCGTCGGTTAAGTATCCAGCTCTTGGTTTCAGCTCAGGTCATGACTTCAGGGTCGTGAGATTGAGTCCCGCACGGGGCTCTGCGCTAAGTGGGGAGTCTGCTTGAGATTCCCTCCCTCCCTCTCCCTCAGCCCCTCCCCCAACTCTCGTGTGTCTGTTCTCTCTCTCTCTCTCAAATAAATAAATCTTTAAAAAAATAAAAAAGTAAAACTTGGGAGATGTAAAGGATTTCACCCACTGACCAACCCCGAAGAGGGATTTTCCCCAAACCGTACGATCAGCTCAAAGTGCATCTGGAGCAGAGTTACTGACAGCTGGAAGACGGTGAAGGCGGTTAATAAGAACGTTTGTTCCAAAGCAGTGAGTCTCAAACTTTTTGGTATCAGGAGACCTGCACGCTCTTAAAATTGATGGAGGACCCCCCCCAAAGAGCTTTTATCTACTGATATTTCCCATATTAGAAACTCCCAAAGGAAAAATTTAAAAGAATTGTCACTGTTCAATGACGAGAAGAAGCCCCTCACCATCAAGGCATGCTTGATGAAAAACACATTTTCGAAACAATACTTCGTGGGCCAAGTCACACAATCACAAATCCGTTTAATGTCTGGCTTCCCCAGGACAGGTGGATGGATTCTGCTTTCTGCTTCCACATTCAGCCTTCTGCGATGGAGCCCTTCTATGGTGGAAACACCCCAGCGTGTATGCTCAAGAGAGAAAAAGACAAGTAATGTCTTTGTGGTATTGAAAAAGGACTTTGACCCTGCAGACCCCTGTCCCTGGCAGAATGGTGTCAGGGACTCCTGGAGGTCCTCAGGCCCCTCCGTTTGCTATTGGAAAGCAAGGTTGGGGCAGTAGGTGATCATCTCCAGCTCCCCGACCTGCCCAAGCATCCCCTGCTCAGACCCTAGCTCCCAGCCCACCCACTCCCCATTCTGAGCTTTCTGACTTGCTCACAGCCTCAGTTTGCTTCTACAAGAACACTTCCTACTCCCCAAGTCGTTATTTTAAAAATATCCCACTGCGTTTCCATAGGACATGAGCCTATGGACAGACATACACGTAATCAACTAGCCTGAGACAATTAGGAACAAGGACCCGGGAAAGTGAAAGTTACAACCGAAGGTCCAGGAACCAGTGAGAAACACGGACTGCAGATTGGGAGTATAAAGGAGCCCGAGAGGGTCAGTCATTGCTTCTGCGCCCCCTGATGACAAGAAGGAAAAGCAACACGTAGTTCTGGTACCAAAATGAGAAGACGTAGTTGTGCTCAGAGCAAACATTTTCTGGTGCTTCACTCCAATTGAAATTTCCCAAGGAGGCTACAGAGCATCCCAGGGCACTGACGTCCCAACGACATCTCTGACCCATCCATGCACGGGCTCTGGAAGGCAGCCACTTATCTAGAATTTAGGAGCATGGTCCCACGGTACACCTTAAGAAACATGATTCTGCAAAAGGCTGAATCTGAATTCAACGGTACTATGTCGTGGAAGGTCCAGTGTGTTCCTTGAATGAAACCCAAGCTTTCTGGAGTGCCATTTTCCTAATTGCGCTTGGCAAATCCTAGGACCCCAAGAGGTGGGTAAGTTTCCTGTGGGGGAATCAAAGGAGTTCATGGGCTAATGGGTTTGGAAAACTTTCAGGGAAGCAAAGTCAAATGGTCTTTGCTGTGGTCCTGCCCTGAGACTCTCCACGCAGATAACGTTTCTAAAGCTAACTTGACACAGAACCCCTTCTGGGGGTGTGTGTGATGACTGGTTAAAAGAACATAGTTTGGGAAATTCTAGGCTTGTCTCCTCTGTAACCCTGGGGAAGATAGTTTAATTCACTGACTCTTTCCTTCCTCTTTTGCAAAAGCAGGAATTGTATCCATAATAGCAACAGTATTCCCGGGTTTGTTAAGAGTTTGGGACGGTCTGTGTAGTCCCATCTCCAGGAACATTCTCGAAAAGGAGAGATAGAACGGAGGTCTTAGAGGTCATCGAGGCCAGCCCTTCTGAAGATAAAGAAGCTGAGTCCCAGAACAATGAACTGATTTCCCCAGAGCCGCGTCACGAGACCAGGTCCCCACGTGGCGCCTAGAGCCCATGTTCTTTGAAACCGAAGCTGGTGAACAGAACTCTGGCTTCCCTCCGTGACTCAGGATTGTCGTGATGGGCATCAGTTCTGGGTTCCAAGTACATGCCTTGCTTGAAGGCTATTAATTGTGGGGAGCTGTTTCCCCCAACACTGCTGGCCCCCACCTTCCAGAGGCTTCTAGGCTTCTAGTGCCCGGGTCAGCTCAGCGTCCCCTCACCTCTCCCCTCCACCAGACTGTCCACGGTTCTTTTTCCTGCTGTCACCCTGTCAGTCCCCAGGAGCTCCCTGTCTGTGCCTACTGGTCTGCTAGGCCTGTTGCTTCAACTAAAATGATTGTCAAGTTAGGGAAGGTTAAAGCCTCAAGAAGGCAGTCCCAGGAGGGCAGTGGCTCCTTCCAGGTTATGCCCAGATGTGCTACGTGTGAGGACAAGGTGGCCTGGTGCTGGGTGGGCTAACTCGGGTCCCCTGGCCTTGTTAGATCCAGCAGTTCATTCAGGATCTGTCGGACATCTGGGCAGAGGTGAGGAAGAAGGAACAGCAGCAAGTACGGGTTTAAGAAGCAGCCGCGGTTCCAGAACGTTCTGAGGCGGAGACTGAGAGAGGATAGGTTTCCGGTGAGCTCGCGGTCCCGTCAGCCCAGCTCAGCCATCTGGGACCCCTGTGCCTTTGTGCTGGCGAACACCCTGCCATTTCCCCACCTCAGGCCTCAGTCCCTCCCCTCCCTGAAAACATTAAATTCTGTAAGGTGTTTCTAAGTTCTGCCTCTTTTTTCGCTTATTCACGGAGAGGATGGCCCACTGGGGGGAGAAAAACATCCCCTCTTGAAGCTGGTCACTTGGGCGGCCCAGGGACTAGAAAACAAGCCTCAGGCCTGACATGTCCGAGGCTTTGGACTTGCACAGAGAAACAGACCAGCAGTGGGGTGAGTACCCAGGACCCTTCTTTCCTCTATCACTTCAAAAAAATTTTTTTTAAGTTGGGGGTTCCTAAGTGGGGTTCAAAGACTCACACGGGGGCAGCTTCCCAAGTCAGAGTTGCGTAGGTGGTGAGTCAAGGACTGTCCCCAACCTAGGGGCCAAGCCCTGCTCCCCTGCCTGCTGGGACCCTACAACACGCATTGTGGTACCAGCCACGCTAACATGGGACTAGGCGGCAGGCCCGGAAGGACGCATCTCTCAGCCGGTGGGAATGATGGTTGGAAACCAGCAGAACTCGGGGCACCTGGGTGGTTCGGTCATTAAGCCTTAAGCGTCTGCTGGCTCAGGTCGTGATCCCAAGATTTTGGGATCCACCCGGGTCAGACTTGCTGCTCAGCGGGGAGTCTGCTTCTCCCTCTCCTCCCCTCTCGGAATCTCTGTCTCTCTCAAATAAACAAATAAAATCTTAAAGGAAAAAAGAAACTAGCAGAACTGAGTAGAGATAAATGGAAAGTTTCACACTCAGGGTCAAATGCTCCAAATTATCAGGTCGGATCAGAGACCGGACCAAAAAAAAAAAAAAAAAAAAACACAAAACAAAACAAAACCACAAACAGAAACAAAACAAAACAAAAAAGAACAAACGAGCCTTTCTTAAACGTATATACGCGCACACATCATCCGGGTGCAAACCCCACGGGGCTCCACTGTCCCTGTCTCCGGGAGCCGCGTGCCTGTTCACGGGCGCTGGCTACAGATGACGAGGTCAGGATGCACAGTGGGTCTGCCAGCCCTGGGCCGGGGCTCCCTCTGCCAGGCGGGAGCACGGTCGCTTCCCCTCCAAAGCCTGTGGCGGAGCAGGACGGAACAAGGAATCCAGGGGGCCTGCGGGATCCCCGTCGGCAGCAGTGAGGCAGCCTCCCTGCGGGGCTTGGAGGGGGATCCCGCTGGGGGCGGCAGGTAGCCCTGGCTTTGCACCAACTTAAAGGGGCAGGTGCGCTCCCGGACCAGCCGCAGCCACTGCAGGTGGAGCTGATTAGAAATGCAAATTTCCAGGCCCCGCCCCAGGGTGGGGCCCAGACCCCCTCCCCTGGCTTTTTAATCAGCCCTACAGGTGCTTCCGGTGGCCCAGGCTCGGGTGGGCGAGGCTGGAGGCCCCCCCTCCAGGGTGCCTCAGTCCCGGCCTCATGGCTGGGTATGGGCTTCACTCCAGGGCCCCCTAAACGTCCCACAGAGTCTCGCCGGGACCCCCGCGCCCCCTCACCTGAAACACCCAGAAAAGAAACTCGGAACTACAGGGCAGCCCTACCTCAAGCCGCCCCTGCGGCACAGGTGAGGGCCGCGGAGGTGGCGTTCCTGGCCCAAGGGACTTCTCTCTGGAAGGGGCCAGAGGCAGGGGCCATCCTGGAAAGCTGGGAGGGCAGGAGGGCGAGGTCCCCGAGTGCTGCTCTGGGGAAGTGGGGGTGTCGAGACCCTCACTGGAAGGAGATGGAAGTCAGGGCAGCCAGAAACAGGTTTGGCGGGGAACGGTGTGTCTCTAAACTACCTCCCCTCCCCTTCGAGGGTCCTGGGGTGGGAGAGGGTGTGGGACACAGGGTTCCCCAACACACAAATCCCCTTTCTGCTGTGTCTGTAAGGTGGGGGTTGAGATGTCCAAACTTCCAGCACTGAACCGGCTTCCTGGGCCAGGCCCTCCCCCTCCCTGCCCCTCCAGCCCTCCCTACCTCTTTATCTTCCCTCTTCCCCCCATCCCTCTCCATCCCCTCCCCCTCACCTCCCTCTCACCTCCCTTCCTCCCTTCCCCTCTATCCCTCTCCTCCCCTCTCTTCTTCTCTCTCCGTCCCCCCACCCCCTCTATCCCCCCTCCCTCTCCTCCCCTCTCCTCCCCCTCTCCCCCCCTCCTCCCCCTTTCCCCCCCTCTCCTCCCCCTCTCCCCTCCCTCTCCCCTCCCTTTGGCCCCCTCTCTGCTTCATTTCTCCCCCCCCCCTCCCTCTCCCCCTTCCTTTCTCCTCCTCCCTCTCCTCCTCCCTCTCCCTCCCTCTCCCCTTATACTCCCCTCCCTCCTCCTCTCCCTCCCTCCTGGCCCTCCCACTCCTTACCCTTGGAGTGTCAGGTTTCCTGCTTGACTGACAAGGTGGGGGGGGGGGCTGTAAATAGAGTCGCACTTAGAATCCCTGAGATCACTCACAGCCTTATCTTACCCCACACGTGTTCACACATATGTGGCTAAGTCACTCTGATACTGCGGCACTTTTCAGGGTTCCAAAGGGGCCCAGCCCTGGCCAGGAAGAAGAAATTCTGTGAGTCTAGGCAGATTTCTTGATTCCAGGCAAAGCCACAAATCCGCAGACTCCTTCCCCAGCCCACAGACAGGGGCAGAAAGGCCCCGGGTTCCCCGGGAACCTCTCACTGAGGAGCAGCAGAGAGCAGCGGCCGCAGACAGACCCCCATGCCTTCCCCCAGCCCGTCAGCACATCCACCCTGGGCCCAGGACCCACAGAAAGAAGCCCGAGACTGTGGTTAGGGCAGATTGGGCTCCCAGACGCAGGAGGCCACCTTCCAAGAAAAAGATGGAGTGAAGGGCCTGATTAGAGCGTTTGCAGCAAGAAAAGACACGAGCTCGTTGAGACAGAAAGAATGTATTTGTTCCCGAGATGAGTGGTTCTTGTCAGCAAAGGCAGGAAGTAGGGTTCTGGGTGTTTTATGGGTAAAGGGAAGCAAGAGGAAGGGAGACCTTCGAAGACTCCCTCTCTGGCTTAGAACACACCATTCCTGTGGGACCTGTTAGCTCTTCCAGATGGAAAGGAGGGGAGGAGGGGAACAAGAAGGAGCCCAGCCTGCACACAGCCAGGCAGACGGACATCCTCACGTCTGTCATGTGTAAGGCCACACCACACACACAGTCCCTGATGGCCCAAAATCGGAGGACGGGATTCAAACAGAAAGTTGAAGGATTCTCGGAGCGACCTCTCTCTGTCTCAAGTAGCTGGACAGTCCATGCTTCTGTGGGATTAGTTGTTGGCCCTTGAGATCAGGACACCCACCCCTCATCCACCCACCTGATCTTACCCTCTCTGTCCCTTCCCAGACTCCAGGCCGGGGTCCCACATCTTCTGTGCAAGCTGGAGGCGCTCTGGACCCTTCCAGGCTTCTCTCCCCCTTCTCCCACACTGAGGGCCATGTGCTTTCCCTCTCTGGAACTTCTAACATTTGGACGTTGAGATAGCTCCCACCACAGACCAGGACTGATAAGAGGGCGAGTGGTCATTTGAGGAATTTTATCCAGACGATCTCCATTTTACCACAGAACATGGGATTAACGCCAGGGAGTGAAGGTTATGGGCGCCATCTTGAAACGTTGCCTTCCACCCTTGATCAAGAAAGGAGTCAAAACAGCTTGAGAAGGGAGGGGGAGGTGACAAGAGGGACTGTGGTAAGGGGGGGGTCAAAGGCCAAGATGAGGTGTGGAGGGAAGGAAATCTTTGAGCTGTGCACCTGACCCAATATCTGTGTATTAGTGATAGTCTCGTACAGCATTCCCCTGGGGCTTCTTGCCCTCTGAGGGGTTGATGAGTGGACAGGAATCCATCTGGGACTCTCCTGATGTCTGATGAAGCTTTTATGTACTCACATCTAGGGATTTTTCATGAGTGAGGGACAGGGGGACGGAAGCAAGAGAAAGTCCACATCCGTCGGTAGGTTCTTCTCAGATTCCTGACGTGACAAGGTGAAGACGTACTGCTTTTTAAAAAACTGAACAGCCTTATTGAGGTAGAACTCCTACACCGTATAACTCGTTCATTTAAAGTATACGTTGCAGTGGACTTTAGCAGGTTGACAGAATGGTGCGACCATCCTCCCAGTCAGTTCCAGATGTTTCCGTCCCTGCTCCCCCAAAAACCCGCCATACCCATTACCCATTTTCTCCCAAACCCCCAGCACTAAGCAACTAATAACCTACTTTCCATTTCTCCGGATTTGCCTCTTCTGGGCATTTTGTGTAAGTGGAGTACACTGTTGTTTCTTGCATCTGGCCTCATGTACTTAGTACGTGTCCAGGGTTCATCTGTGCTGTCGTGTGAATCGATGCGTCGTTCCTTTTTATGGCTGAGTAATATTCCACTGTATTGGTATACCACATTTTACATACCCAGTCATCAGCCAAGGGACATTTGCGTTGACTCTCCTTTTTGGCTTCTGTGAGCGGTGCTGCTGTGCACACTCCCGGGCAAGTGTTTCTGTGGATGTCGGTTGTCCTCTGTCTTGGGTTGTGCTCACAGGGGTAGACTTGCTGGTTTGGACGGTTACTCTGTTTCCCCTTTTTAGGAAGTGCCGAACTGTCTGGAACGGCTGCATGTGGAGGTACTCTGGGGACACGCACTTTCATGTCAAGGATTAATGGCCAATTCGCAGAAAGAAAGGTCAGCGGGGGAGGAAGAGTCCAAAAGAAAACCCGGACTTGATGAAAAAAGGACCCAGGAATGCACTTGGAGATCAAAGAATACAACACCCGATTATGGGCTGTCCAGGCTCCGGGGAAGGAGGCTGGACCACGAGGTAGGGACCAGGCAGCCACCCAGCCCTACCCATAGTTCCCTTCGCAGCCCCCATGTGCGCCGTCCATCCTCCCCACGTGATACCCTCACATCTGGGCTTCAGAAACCTCCTGCTGATCGGCAAAGAGTCGATCACCTCTTGTACACCAAACGCAGAGGGAAGCGAAGGTGACAGGTTCGGAAATAGTTGGTGTGGGTTCTGCCTCTTGGGGCCTATGGTCTCTTGGGAGAGACATTAAACCAGTAGTGATAAATAGTTACATAACTAAATAATGATGGC